CCGAAGAAGCATTAGAACTATCAAAAGTAAATGTATTTTGACGATGTAAGGAAATGTTTACGGCCTTATTTATAAAAAATAACGTAGATTTAGACAGTTGTTTAATGTGACATTTTCATAAAACTTTTGTATTCAAGCAGCTTTTTAAATCTATGTATGTACTTAAATTTTTATGAAAGTATTATTTCTCGTCTCTAATTTTCTATAAAACTATTTGCAGTCATTAACCAACAAATAAGTTGTCAAAAACAATAACTTAAGCAATGCTGCTATACGAAATAAAATTATTAGTGGCAAATCAAAATTTTGAAAAGTGCCGATTTTCACATTCGATAGTTGGACATGGTAGCGACGAGATGTACGAGCATTTCTTTCGTAAGAGCTGAATACTGATTTTTTATAGAACCAAATTTATTTTCCATTTATTGTGCATAATTTTATATGAATTTTTAGTTTTTCTTGAGAGCCTTTACAAATAAAAAAAAGTTTCGAAATATGTACATATATACATACATACCCAGCCATATAACTTGATTTCAATAGAAACGAATTTTAATTGGGCACGTTCAAAAGGCGCAACAGCTCAGATCAACTGAATAGTTGCGTGTTAGATGATCGTAATATTTTTCTGATCATTTGAGACAACATGTTGGTGTGTACCTTTGAGAGTTGAATTTNGCTTTTTTTTGATAACACTGTGCGACAGCTCAAATTGGTATTGAGTAAAACCAAATGCAAGAGATAGTTTTTGAATTTAATTGAGTTTTTTTTTTAATAAATACTAAAATTAGAGGTGTATGAATGGCGAAAGAAAAAGTTTGTCCGATTTTTTTAAATCGAAACTACATTTTTACATATGTACATATGTACATGCATACATAAATATATTTAATATGAAATTGTAATTTTCACATCAATTTTCGCTATCTTCATACCCAGTCATGGGCACTTTTGCCCGTATGGGCTTTTTTACCCATATGGGCAAGCGAGCCCATTTCGCGGGCTAGATCAGTAGTGCGATTCCCATTTTTCTTAACGACAATATTCGTATCGTTAGCTAATGATTCCGACAAGTTTCGTTAATTGCAGTTCTCAAGCACACTTTTAGCGAATATTGTCGGTAGCCTTGACAGTTGTCTAACGAAATTTGTCGATAGCCTAGCTACGAATATTTTGTCGTTGAAAAGCCTAACGATAAAATTGGTTTAAGTTTTTATTGAGAAAAATTTGGCAAAATTCATCGGTAGGCAAACTATTATAACTGTCTCTTGTACACATCTA